GTGATGAAGAGTAGTGTGGAAGTGTGAGCTGAATAAACCCTTTCCTCCCCAACTTGTTTTTGGTCATGATGTTTCATCACAGAAACAGTAACCCTAACTAAGAAGATAACATATGAGTGTTTGGCCTGCATGTATGTATGTGCACTTTGTGCATGCAGTGTCCACAGAAGCCAGAATACAGCAATGAATCCCCTGGAACTGGAGTTTATAGACAGCTGTGAGCTACCATGTAGACAGTGGAAACCAAGCCAGAGTCCTCTGCCAAGCCCTCTCTCCAGCTCTAAGGCTCACTCTCTTTGGATAAAAATTCAGCTTTTCCTTCCCATCCTCATCGAGTGCATGAGAATTAGCCCTGAGGCTGGAAGGAGGAGTAAGGAAGCCGCTGCCGTAGAGCACAACATACAGGGAGAGGGAAACACACATCTCGATGCAATTGCTTTGTCTGACGCAGACCCCTCTTCTCCCTAAATGCTAGGGGTCACTCTGGTGCCCCAAGCGTTAATCACGAACCGTTGGCTCTTAGTTTTCCAGCAGGCAGAGTGGAAAAATGCAATGGTAATAAATAAATAGATAGATAGATAGAGTTAATGGCCCTCCTTGTTTTCTGTTGAGTGTCTCTTCCATCTCGTGTGATGTGAGATGGAACACCTTACTTTCTCTCCCTGGAGACATGCAGCCCTAGCCTTCCTTGCCCATATTTGCATGTAACCACAAAAAGGAGCTTAATGCAAAATATCAAGGTGTCCTGAATTCTGGGAGGTAATTTGCCCAACTCAGCAAGCCAGACTAGGTGGGGTGACAGAGGCCTGTAATTCCAGTAACCCAGGAAACTGTTTGTGACTCCAGTTCCAGGGGATCCAACACCCTCATACAGACATACGTGCAGGCAAAACACCAACACACATAGAGTAAAAATAAATAAATTTAAAAACAAAGTAAAAGCGATAATCAAACAAAACTAAGGCAGTAAGACTTACACTTCTAAAATACAATGCTTTCTATAAAAGCCTTTAAACCCTTAGTCTTCCTAAATTTCTACAAATTTTGCAGAAATTTTTAAATGCTATTTTCCCAGGTTAAAGTAACTCACTCTTGAATTATCAGACTTCAGATTCCTTTCCCCTACCTACTTTATCCCACTATCTCTAACCATGACGGGGAGGGGGGGTGCATCAAAAAAGGTGTTTAGGGACTAGGAAAATGGCTCAGTGATTAAGAGTGCTTGCTGATCAGTCGTGAAGCCCTGAGTACAAATACCCAGCACCCGTCTGAAGGCAAGCAGGCACAGCTGCATATGTGTTCCTGTAAACCCAGCTTTTCAGGAACAAAGACAGGCAAATCCTGGGAGCTCCCTGGCCAGCCATCCTAGTGGAAACTTTAATCTTTGTGTACAGTGAGAGACCCTGTCTCAAGAGAGTAAGTCAGAGATTAAAAGAAGAGGAGCCAATGCACGCCCCACATTCTCCTCTGATCGTGTATACTTAAATACATGCATGCACAGCACACACACACACACACACACACACGTCTGGTCATACATCAGTGGCCTCCACGTTAGTGTCTGTACAGTCATCCTTTTTCTTGCTCCTGCCTTCTCTCCAGATAAGGTGCTCACAATTCCCTTTACGCTAACACATGAAAAGATTCTAAATCCTACCACAGAGGTACCTGCTGGTCCATGTTCATTGCTGCTCTAGTCACAACTAGCCAGGAAATAAAAGCAGCTTACGTGTGTATCGATGGGTAAACGGAAGAAAACACAGCACATTTACACGATAGAACATTTATTCGGATGTCAAAAAAAAATGTGAGATTTTCTAGGAAAATGGATAGAGCTAGAAAAAAAATCATTCTGGGTGAGGTAACCCAGGCTCAACAAGGTAAAAGTGGCTATTTTCTCTCTCTCGTTTGCAGATGTTAACTTTAAATTTTCAGACATGTGGGCTTAATTTGGAATACCCACTAAGGTCAGGAGATTAAGAGGTCATGGTGAGAGGAGCATTCAAGAGAGGGGAGACAGAAAGCAGTGATCTGAAGGGTTAAAGGAAAGTAATGGAACAGGAAGGGTTAAACTGGGTAGGGGTAGGAGGGCATAGGAGAGAAAAATGTACAAAAAGAAATACTAACACTCAAGACTTTTTTTAAAAAATTCCTGTGGAAACTTACTATTACAGAAGCCTCCTAAAATATAAGCATATCCACACAAATAGCTCAAACGGAACGGCTCTGGAAGAGGGAAGCAATGCCCCTACTGGACTCCACAAACTAACAAACAGAAGGCCCAGGGCCAAGGATGTATTACCCCTTCTGGGGTTGTTGATCATTAAGGTCCCCAAACATCACAGACTGTCGACAGGACTTTTGTTAATCCTCCAGAACTTGGCAGTGAGACACTGTTTCTGATGACACCACACAACTTTAGTCTCGGAGCCTGGAGAAAGCAAGCTTGTCCCCCCCTGGCTGGCTTTCACAGTGCTGGAAGGTGATACGCACATCGATGGAGGGTCAAGGCCACTGTCAGTCTCACCCGGCTGTGAGCCCTACCTGCTACGGTAACGGACAGCCTGACAAAACACACCCAGGAGAACAATAGTGGCATGGATACCAAGGGAGCAATCAACCGCTTTCTGATTTGAGTTGGGGAATGCTCTACGAGATAAAACTCATAATGAGCACCATTACCAAAAACCTATGGCTAGACAGATCTTGGGCCAGAGGGGAGAACATACGATTGTCATCCTGCTAAATGTACATCGTGTTAAATGGGCTCCTAGTGTTATGCCCATGGATGAGTCTCTCAAGCCTCATCAGAGAAGCTCCTTTTTGCAGAAGATGGCGATTAATACAGAGACCCACAGCTGGTCACGTTGCAGAGAAGGAGAGACTGCAGAATATTTAACCGTGAATGAGATTTATATCACAACACCTCCCAAGGCTCAGAGATCAGTGTGGAAGAGGGGCAGAAAGATTGTAAGAGCCAGAGATGGTGTGTGACCACAAAGAAAAAAGAAAACGGCTTTCCGATGCTACAGGGCAGCTGCAGGTGTGAACTTGTAGCAATAGGGAGAGCCCGTACAAGACCTGCCTGAGCTCAAACCAGACCAAAGCCCAGCACAGATGGGGAGACGAGCTCGGAGAGCCTTCTAGAAGTGGAGTCCTTGGCAACTGATACTGCCGGGGTAGAGGGTGAGTTTTGTTTAAAGGCATGGCCTCTGGTAGGTCAGCCATACTCCAGTGGAAGGCCACCTACCCAAGAGGATACGGGCGGCATAAATTTGACTTCACGGGTTGGAAAGGAAACAAAAGATGGCACAAAATTAGGTGAGCGGAAAAGCAGGGTGGATCTTGGAGGAGCTGGGGGAGAAGGTGAATGTGATCAAAACAGAGTTTGTGAAATTCTCAAAGAAACAATAAAAAAGGGGGATTTTTTAAATAAAAAAAAAAATAAGATACAGATCATTTCAAGTGGTCATTTCGGATTGTTATTGCAACTAATACCAATGGCTAAAAAACTTGGTGTAGCCTCTCTCTAAAATAAACAAAAAAACAACATGACACTCCCCAAAGAAAAATAAGCAAAAGCCCACTCCTTTGACTAGCTCCCTAAGACTCTGGGTCTCAGACCCAAGGCCTTACAGTTCTCTGTGAATCTTGATTTAACAAAAAAAAAAAAAAAAAAAAAATCTCTGCAACAGACTAAATATTGCCAACCAACCACATACTCTAAAGAGCACGCTGGAAACCGTTCTTTCCACTCACAACACAGCAAGCAAGGAAGTGCGGACAGCTGTGTTAGTGCTTTCACATCCTGAGTTCCCACTGGCTTTCACCACTCGCTGTTTCCACAGCAGCCTGCCTCCTGCTAGTTCTTCGGATAATCTGAAGTTTCGTGCTGGAGTGAACCAGATCTTCATTTCTAACATGAAAAGGCTAGGCTAGGACAGTCATCTTCCATGCTTCCATCCCAGGCTTCCTTGCTTCTGTTAATTGCTTCTTAGTATAGTGGCCCAACTGAGTGCTTTAAGGAACCTCATTACATTTTCTTTAGTCTTTCCTGTTACACAGGATCAGGGGTGGTGGGCAAAGCCATGCCCTCTCTTTTGTTTTAACTGTGTAAGTAGGTATCGCTCTCATCTCTCAGTTCAGTGGAGTCATTTTGACCTTTATTAGTGGAAGCAATCCTAAACTTGACACAGAAAAAAAAAAACTAACCAAATATAGGTGGGATATCCCTAACCCTCTCCCAGAGGACCAAGTTGATTCCCAGCACCACATGGTAGCTTACAACCATCTGTAACTCTAGACCCAGGGAAGCCAATGCTATCTACTGGCCTCTGTGGGTGCCAGGTACACATACAATATAAGTACACATGCAAGCAAAACACCCAAACACATAAAATAGGATATTGAAGAGTTTTATTTACGTGTGTGTGTGTGTTGGTATGTGCATGTGAGTGCAGGTGCCTGAGACACTGGATGTCCCAGGAAGCTGGAGTTACATGCAGTTGTAAGCCATCTCATCTGGGTGCTGGGAACTAACAGCAGGTCCTGTATAAGAACAGCACACACTCTTAACCGCTGAGCCATCTCTCCAGCCCCCTTAAAACAGCTTGGTGTTTTTGTTTTGTTTTGTTTTGCTTTGCTTTGCTTTGTTTGAAATTCAATCTTACCCATCTAAAAGGTCTGTCATCAAGAAAGTAACAACTTTCTGATAATGGTGTAGTTTGAATTCTAAGCAGCTCTAACCCGCAAGTGAAGAGAAAGAAAAAGGTGGGGTTCATCCTCAGGGCTCTGGTCTGTCAAACTCCATGGCTGGGTACCCAAGTACTTGCTGTCCTGCTCACTACACTGATTCTGGCTACACCAGAGCCCTGTCCAGGCCCTGAGGAAATTAAATTCGAATATGGGTTCAACTTCTCAGAGAAGCGGAAGCTCCGCCTTCAAGACATAACATTTCAGTGTAGCCAAGCGAGGTCTCCCATCTGCGGTCAGGAGCCACCATGGAGGCTCGAGGGATCCACCTCACCCTGTGGCTTCTTACCCTGTCCATGCTCACGCAGATGCCTTCTGGTAACCTGTTTTCTCCAGAACTGAAAAACGAACTGTGTGAAAGCGGGTATCTTGGAGGTGAGCAAAAATGAAGGTGGGAACTGGAGAAAACGGGGAAGGGGAGAGAAATTTGGTGATCTGGATGGCATTGCTTTTATTTCAAACTCCATGGGCTTCTGATTAGATCGAGTTCCCTATATAGGTTACAGAAAGAGGAAAACAGAAAAGTAGCATCAACTTAAGTCTCTACCAAAGAGTTTCAAAGCAACAAAAGACTGAGAATCATGAAGATTGGATTGATATTAAGGGTATCCAAGAAATTGTGTGTGTGTGTATGTGTGTGTGTGTGTGTGTGTGTGTGTGTGTGTGTGTGTTATGAGCTTCATTTCTACTCAATACATAATCATAGGACCACTATGTTACTTTCCTTGGATTCGGGAAGGTCAAGGCCATCGTCTGTACTCCCATGCTACTTTTTAAATTTGAATTCTAATGGGCACTTTGGAAAAACTCAGAGTGAAGACAGGAGATTCCTAATCATGGGAAAGACTATAGCTGGGCTTCACGAAGAGCAACATTAACTCTCTTTGTCTCCAACATGCTCACCATGGCTCCTGCTGGAACCCACGCTTATGCTGATAGCAAAAAACGGTGAGTCCAGGTATGTGAACAACGGGAAACAGGACGAAGGAGAACAGTAGAGACCTGGAGGGAAGGGAGAGTCTGCCAGATTTGGCAGCAGAAGCCTGGCCTTCAGGAGTAGATATGCAAGGTAGAAAGGTTTTTTTTGTTTGTTTGTTTGTTTTGGTTTGGTTTTGGGGTTTTTTTTGTTTGTTTGTTTTTTGTTTTTGTTTTTTTAACATATATGCTCTGACAGCGAGGGTGAAAGGGACCAAAGAAAGGATTCTAAGGGGTTCCGGATGATGAGTACCTACAGACACCAAGTTAGATGCTCACTTGCAGAGCCAAGGAAAGTGCGTGGAGACTCGGGAAGTGGGCTGCTTAGTTTGAGTAAGGAATACGGGGGAAAGCTAGAAGATGTTGTCCTTCTCCAAGCTCCTCCGTAACACTAACCCAGGCTGTAGCCTGGGTTCACTGTCCTGTATCACATAGAGCAAAGCTCATGTTCAAGGGATTACAACTTGCACCCCAATGATAAAATCAGATTGACACGAGGGCAGAGTAGACTGAGTCCATGAAGAAAAGAGTGACGATTCCTTTAGTAGGAGGATCTGAACTTGGGCTTCTTCCTGACAGACATCTGCAACTATCCTGTTAAGAGGGGCTTTTGCACCGCCATTCTGTACAGATACTACTTCAACAAGGTAACATCCTCCTGTGAGCCCTTCATCTTCTCTGGCTGTGGGGGCAACAGAAACAACTTTAAAGCTCAGTACCTCTGTGAACACTATTGCCTTCAGAAACAGGTAAGCCTCTTGGTGCCTCACCCCGCTCTTAACAACTCTAAATGGTTGAGAATAACAGTTTTACCGGCAACACCTAAAAAAAGGCTAGGGAGAAATGAGCATGGAATCATGAAATTACTTCCAGATGCAATCATGTGAGTCTTGAATCCCAGTGTCCTGTGTTGTGTTCAAGCTGAAAATTAAAGCCTAACCAGCCACCATGGCTTACTTGTAAAATCCCAGCATTTAGTAGTCTGAGGCAGGTGTTCAAGGCTAGCCTGGGCTATGTAGTGAGTTCCAAATCAACTTGGATTACACTTTTTTTTTTTTTAATCTAAAAACAAAAACAAAAAATTAGAAAGGGAAGGTGGGGAATTGATCTGGGGAGGCTTGGGGGAAGGGATAAATGTGATCAAACATATCATATGAAACTCTCAGAGAACTTTTGAAAAGAGGTCAGAACAAAAAGAAAAAAAATAAAATAAAGCCCAAGGAGCTGATAATTTTTTGTTTACTCGGAAGGACATGGCCCTAACTCTCTACCCAGCATCTCACTGCTTGGCAATGGCCTGGGTCTTTGAGAACCTCGTAGGTTGCTGTTAGGTGGGTGAAAGAGAAGCTGCTGGAACATCAGGAGAATGGGGAAGACCCCAGCCACAGTGCAATACCTGCCCCAACTCGAAACAAAGGGTTCTCCTTCCAGAATGGAGAAGCTGATGGCCCAATCTGTATATTCCCACAACCTAGCATTACATCCATTTAGTGATTGCTTCTAGATAAGAGGATATTATCGACAGACAGCTGTGAAATTTGGGTGATACCTTAAGAGCCAGTTGATTGGGTCCTTTTAGCCATAACGGTGTCCACAATGATCACAAATTTTATTTATTAACAGAAAAACTAATCCAAAACCAGCAAACCGTAAGCGAGACCAAATAAAGGATGAGGAGAAAACGGTGCTGAAGTTATGCAGAGTGAATAAAGTAGAAATTTCTGACAACATTTAGAATTCAAATTTCTTGTTCATTTCCTTTCCTAGGTTTCCCTTTCCCACTGGTTAATTGTATACAATGTTAATTAAGATTTTTCTGGGGCTGGAGAGATGGCTCATTGCTTAAGAGCACTGTCTGCTCTTCCAAAGGTTCATGAGTTCAATTCCCAGCAACCACATGGTGGCTCACAACCATCTATAATGTGAACTGATTCCTTCTTCTGGCAGATGTAAATGCAGATAGAACACTCATACACATAAAATAAATAAATCTTTAAAAAAAAAAGATTTTCTGAATCTCAGTCCTGGTATGAATTCATGCGTCACTACTATCCAAGATGCTTCCGATATAAACTACATATGGTCCCCTACTGGCAGCAACCTGTGCCTTCATGTGTCAATCACTGCAGCATCCTTCGCCTTTGCTCTCTATCTGACTTTGTTTCTGAATTTTGTTGTGGACCAAAACAATTGCTATTCATATTGGCCACTATCAATTGCTGGTCAACCCTCAATCATGTTCATGTTCAGGGCAAGCGTCTCTGTCATCCCCATTGGCAGTACTATAGAATTCACGACATTGCAGGTGGGAGCAAGTCTTTATCTGTCTCGGTATGGAGGGTCATGACCTCCACCCTGATGATGTAAATTCTTGTCAACAGTGGAGCCCCACAAAGAAATCTATCTATGTGAGCCAGTACCCTAGTGCTCATAAACAATGAAAAGGACTATGGGCCCACATGCCTCAGCTAGTGATTATTCCAGCTCAGTCCAAATGCCAGCAACCACATACCCTGGGTTATGGGCACAACTGGGGAAATCATTGGGAAGCGGCAAAGACCGTAGATTAGAGGCCTGAGCATTCATACTCCCTACAATTCAGGGGTGGTGAGGGTAAAAGAAACAAGAAGATTCTAGTAGCCTCTAAGTGTTGGGTCAAAACCTCCAAGTCCAGCATCCCATATTATGCTGGGTCAAAACCTCCAAGTCCAGCATCCCATATTATGCTGTGGTCAAATGAAACTCTGTTCCAAGGCCTGACACCATGGAGTTGATTTACCTGGTACCCATTCATGGGATTCTGGAATAGTTTTCTCTGATTACAGAAATACTTGGTGTTTGATAAGTATTGCACAAGTGCAATTGCTTTAAGAAGTTTTTGAGAACTACAGTTTAGTTAAAAGAATAACTATAAATAACGTGTTTGGCAGAGACAAAGAAATCACATCCTCGGCTGAAATGTACGACAGATGAAAACCCAAGCAAAAGATGGGGCGTGGGAGGGTCGGAGGGGTGGGATGTGGGGTGGGTCATGTGTGTGTGGGATATGGGGATGTGGGGAGGTGTGTGTGGTGTATGTGTCTGTGTATATAAAAGGATAGCGATGTCCAACATGAGGTGACCAGTCACATAAACGAGCCATTGCATGGAGGTCTAGTGAAGAGTTGTGTGTGACACCTCAATCTTGAGTAAATCTAACCATCTTGGAAGTGATATTCTGGTTTGTTTGGTGTATAACAAGGTGAAAGAATCAGAAACCACATCAAAGTCCCATCCTTGGCTGAAATGTACGACAGATGAAAACCCAAGCAAAGGATGGTGGTGTACACTGTGACCCCAGCACTAGCGAAGGAGACATAAGAAGACCAGGAGTTCAAGGCCAGCCTCAGTTACATGAGGGTACCACTGGGCTACAAGAGACTTCAAAAGTCAAAAAAAAAAAAAACAAAAAAAAAAAAAAAAAACAAAAAACAAAAAAACAATCCTATAAGAAGTCCAGTGGTGATGCATGCCTTTAATCCCGGTGCTAGGGAGGTGGGCGGATCTCTGAGTTAGAAGCCGGCCTGGTCTACAGAGTGAGTTTCAGGACAGCCAGGGCTACACAGAGAAACCCTGTCTCAGACATATATATATATATAACACACCAAGTGTTACACTTGGCGTAAGACATTTTTACCATCTGGTAGAGGACAAAAGAGGAGAGTAGAAAGGCTTGCTAGAATCTGTGGTGACAAGGTGGCGAAAGGTGGGGACGAGTACCAGCATGACAAGCTGCATTCGAGCCCCAGGACTCACACAGAAGGAGAGAAACAAATCCTCAGAGTTGTCATCTGAAAGCTGCGTGCGCACATGTAACTTACACCACCCACACACCCACACACAATTATTTTTTAGCATTTAAAAGAAAGGATTTTCTTCACCTTGTTATGCACCAAATAAGTCAGGATGTATTACTTCCAATCATCCAAGATGGCCTAAGGTTTTACAGAGAACTCTTTTACTAGTCCTCCATGCAATGGCTAGTTTAACTAGTCATTGTCATGTTGACATTAATACTCTTCTTTATATAGGTTACGTTTAAAAAGAGAACCTGCTATCTGTCTTTAGTCCATGGGTTTCCCGGTACCATGCACAGGTAGACCCACCAGCTCCCCATCCTGCTGAACCCTACACAGTTCAGACAAGTGAGTCCATGCCAACGTTTTATTGGGAAAGAGAAGCACCATTTCCGGGGCTGTTTTTCTGTGTGCTCCGTGCAGCAGTAGAAACAAGGAGAAGGCCTGATAGTCCTCGGGGTTTCACAAGCCCCAGGATGTCACCCAGAAGCTTCCTGGTACTCCAGACCAATTAAGGCAGCTAGGGTGCTCGAGCCTCTGCAAGTAGAACGAAATATCAGGTCACAGTGCCTTGCTGGCTCCAGCTGCCCAGCTGTTCCCCTTCTATCCTGGGGAGCCTCAATGCCCATCACTATTAAAAGCTTTAAATGGTTTTGGGCATCCTGACTGGTTCTGAAGACTCTTCTCATTTAGAAGTCACATCTGTTATCAAATAGGTACAGTAGTATCTGTTCTGGGTTTTTTGCCCTGCCCCCAGCCCTCATGGCCCAAATACTTCAGATGTACTCCCTCTCTGTGACATGTGCTGTCCTCACTCGCCACATCTGCCTCGGCTATAGGGCCTGGATAGAATCCCATCTCTCCCTACAGAGAGCCACACCCACTGTAAACACTGTGACCCCCACAGTGTCCTTATGAGGGTGTGGTCTGTGACTCTTCTAATCACGGTCTTTAGGGCGTCAGAAGCCGCCTTCCCAGCATCTACGCCTTCCCACACAGCAGGAAAGCCTGCTAACTTCATAGCTGATCAAAGGTCATCACAGGTTACACTCACCTAGTTCAGGATTGGACCCATTGGCCCTGTTGGAGTCTGTGAGCTGTTTGGGTAGCTGGAGTGCAGGGGCACAGAAGCGGCCACAGCCTGACTTGCAGCACTTTTCCCCGGGTTGACAGTTCTCATCCACCATGCAGTTGACAATACACAGGCCTATCAGAATTCGGGGGCATTGACCATCCCGCCCTGTGGGGAACAGCAGCACAGGGAAAGACAGGGAGCTGGCTCCTCCCTTCCCGCGTTCCTACCTACAGCTTGGCCCAGGTGAATTAACCCTGACTCCCAACTAGATGAGGCTGGAAGCAGGGAACAGCAGGGCTGAGACACTATATCCAAGCACCTCTGACCTAGGAGTTGTTAAACTACTAAAGCCGGTGCCTTAGAGGGTGGTAGGGTGCAGGCTTGCCAAGAGAGCCCAGAGTAGAGAGACAAGGCCCTGCCTTCTCCCCTGTGATTGCATTTCGTGTCACTGCCTCGTTTGCCACCCTAGAGAGCTTTTATGCTTCTGGTTTGTGCTACCATAACCCTGTGTAAGTCTTATTTCATCAAAATGTTTGGGTGTTTGTGTTACGTGTATGCGGTATGTGTGCGAGTGGTGTGAGTATATGCATGGTGTGTGGTGTGTGTGAGTGGTGGGGGTGTGTGGGCTTGTTACAGTATCATTTCTCACTGGTACAAGAATGACACAGTCCCTTAATGTACAAGGCCTGTCTTTTCCCACATCAGCGATATGCGGCATGCTACTCATTCAGTGTTGAGCAGCAGCTGCCACACTCCCAGTCAGCCCTAAGTCTACCATGGGATAGAACTGGCACTCTACAGGGGGCTGTATATGTTGCAAAGCTAGAAGATTTGGGTAGATCTGGAGTTGTGCTGGCTAGTTTTATGTCAACTTGACACAAGCTAGAGTCATTTGAAAGGAAGGAACCTTAATTGAGAAAATACATCCATAAGATCTGGCTGTAGGATATTTTCTTATTAGTGATTGCTGAGGGTGGGCCGATCCCATTCTGGATGGCACCATCCCTGGGCTTGTGGTCCTGGGTCTTAAAAGAAAGCAGACTGAGCCAGGCATGGTGGTACATGCCTTTAATCCCAGCACTCTAGAGGCAGAGACAGCAGATATCTGTGAATTTGAGGCCATACTGGTCTACAAATGGAGTTCCAGGACAGTCAGGGCTGCTATGCTGAGAAACCCTGTCTTGAAAATCACACAAGAGGTGAAGGAGGAAGAAGAAGAGAAAGAAGAGGAGGAGGAGGAGGAGAAATCAGGCTGAGCAACTCATAGGGAGCAAGCCAGTAAGCAGCACCCTTCCATGGCCTCTGCATCAGCTCCTACCCCCAGGTTCTTGCCTTGTTTAAGTTTCTGCCAGGACTTCCTTCAGGGATGAACTATCATGTAGAAGTATAAGCCAAAGAAATTCTTTCCTTCCCAACTTGTTTTTGGCCATGGTGTTTCATCATAGCAATAATAACCCTAACTAGGACAGTAATATTAAATGTGCTTTCAACTTACGAGAGTTGCCATATACAGTGCATTTATCAGGTAGGACCCTGTTATAATCAAGGTGCATCTGTAATTTCTCATGTGTCTTCCCTAGCAGGCTACATGTATATAAGGACAAAGGTTAAGCATTATATGGGAATATAAAGAGACTAAGACGCTAGGAACATAGCTCAGCCGGTGGACTGTTTGTCGAACATCTATGAAGATCTATGTCCAGTCCCCAGGAGCACATGAGCTGGGTGTGATGGTACATGCCTGGGACCTCTGCACTCAGGAAGTAAAAGTAAAAAGACCGGAAGTTCAGAGTCATCTTGAGCTACATAGGAAGTTCAGTCAGCCTGAGTTGCATGGTTCAAAAAAAGGGGGGAGGGATGATGATGATGATAGATGATAGATAGATAGACAGATGAGTATAAGACATTTGAGGCCAAGAATAGTGTCTCAGGCCTGTAAAGCCAGCACATGAGAGACTAAGTCAAGGTATAAGACCAGCCTGGACTACACAGTGAGACTCTATATCAAAAACAAACAAATGATATAAAAAGCCACTGATCCTAGGAAACTTCTTTTCTAGACAGAGGAAACAGGCTCAAAGAGAGGGGATTATTGCCCCAGCCACAAAGCCCCCCGCAGAGCTCAGGAGCTGCATCACCACACTTCCTCCTCTAGTTCTTTAACCCTGGAAGTAAGTCTTGGGTTGGAAGCCAGGGGATGGTAAAGGTGACAGCTAGTTCCCCCAGGAAGGTGTCTAGAAGAAGCTCCTCCAAACTGACGTGGGGCCCCAGGGGCACATCTGACTCTTCTCCCAAAGAACCGCATACCTCCCGGAATGTCTCCTCGGCAGGCACGGCCACAGCCAGTGCTGCAGCACTTGTGCCCCTGGGGGCAAGACGTGTCGCCGTCACACAGTTTCTCACATGGAAGAGGGTCAGCAGGACAGCCACCACTTAATTCTGCCATAGAATGATAGCGTGAAAACTCAGATGTGCTGAAGCCAAGAACATAAAATGCATTTTCAGTGGATGTTAACCACTGTAGCAAACATATGGATTAGACACCTTATGTTCATTCTTTCTTTCAAACTGTGACAGACCTACAGTATTTGTCCCTTATCAGCTATATTTCCTGGGATTTGTGAAGTCCCTTTCCACACTGACCTGGGCTTCATCCTCTTCTAGACTAGTGTGGTGAGATGCCACTTGGACAGAGAACATGGAAGGAGAATTACCATCCCAGGGGGCTGGAGGAGGTTCTGTTGGTAAAATGCTTGCCATGCTTTACTGAATTTGCTCTGTGAAAAAGGCTGGGTGTCGCATCATCAGCACTGGCATGCTGGAGACAAGCAGACACCTAGGGCTCCCTGGCCAATCAGCTTAGCCTAATCATCAAACCTGCGTCCTAGTGAGAGACCCTGACTCAGAAAACACAAGATGTACAGCTCCTGAGGAGTGAGAGTCCAGGTGACTTCCAGCCCTGCATCTGCATGGGCACATAGACATAAACACACAGAAATATACAAATTGATAAATATAAAATGAGAAATAGCATCCGAGACATTCCAGGTCTACTGAGCTCCCACCTGCATGTGTGAGTGACCTCAGGTATACCACATGGGGAGATCAACCATTCAGTGCACCTGGGCCACCCACAGCTGCGAATGAACCATTATCTTAGGCCACTATATCTGGGGCCAGCCTGCTATACTGGAAATGACACTCATAAAACCTCAGGTCTAGTCTGAGATGCAATGAACCCAGCCCAAATGATTTGCATCCTTCGTACTCTCTTACAACAAGAGGTGACAGCGAACTAAGGTGCTAATGGGAGAAAATGTGTATTCTTAATCCAGACCATCCCTATGCTTTCTTCTTCCAAAGACATGTGTGCTGTGGAGGTGTAAGGGGGCCTTCTTTGAAGTAGGAAGGCACTAGCATGAGGACAAAGTCAAGGACTGATGTGGTGAGAGAGAGAGAGAGGGTTCCTTCTCGGTAGCATCATTGAGTTGCCATGACAGCTCTGACACCCACCCCAAAATTCTTGTAAAGTGAGGACAGTGAATCACTTTTCTGTTAATGTTCTGCTGTCCACAACCAAATACATCCTAGATGTGCCTCTTCATCACTGCTGTGACAAGATCAAAACCCAGAGAACTGGGCCCCACCCAGAACTACAGAGTTAGCTAGCAGCTAAGCTCAGCTGAACTCAGCTGCCTGACTTGCCATGAATTACGATCTAACACGCCATCCTTAAAAGATGCAGGTGCCTTTGCCTCAGGAGCAGACACACCCAAAGACGACTGCATCTGAGCCAGACTAATTCACCATGACTCATTTCAGTGTTTATTTCCAGTCCTTTAAATATGAGGAGAAGTGATGGACAATTAAGTTTTGTAGAAAACCAAAACATGCCTGGCCCAGGGCCTCAAAAGCAACAGGTGTGTATGATTGCCCATGGCTGGCTCCAGAAAGTCTGCCATGATGGAAAGAGTGAATGCTGGACCCCAAAGATGAACCACAATAGTCTTGTGTCCTAGGACTTTCCTGAACAGGAATATTCTGTATTATTAGGATGTCATGTCAGAACTATGTACCCAGATTTTTTTTTAATTTGGAGAGCATGGTCACTGTAGTTATATATCTCATTACACCTACTTGACAAACACTGCAATACACTTGAAAAAAATAAATTATTTTACACTTGAGAGTGCTGAGTATGAAAATCAACCCAGAAAGTTGAACGATGAAACTAAAAAAGGGGGCCACCATTTTAATGAGTCTAATGGGACAAAGGCCAGGATCTTCACTACCTCAAAGACATGCCATCCTTATTTTTATTTTATTTTTAGTTTATGTTTTGTTTATATCTGTGTGCGGGTGTCAGAAGCCCTGGAAATGGAGTTGCAGACAGGTGTGAGCTGCCATGTGGGTCCTGGGAATTGAACTCAGGACCTCTAGAAGAGCAGCCAGTGCTCTTAACTGCTGAGCCAGCTCTCCAGCCTTGCCATCCTCATTCTTAAGCTAGACAGTGTTTCTAGTCCCTACCTCTCTCCTAAAAGTGGGTTTCTCAGAAGTTCTAACCGCCCATCTTTGCCTTGCAAAACATGTCTTTGGACAGGATGCCCTGTTGTTGGTGTTGTGGTTCTGCTAGCCTAGGTGAACAAAGTCATTACAAATCAACAAAGTCATCACAAATCATGCATCTTAGTAAGTGCACAACTAATTATGTTACCAGGGACCAGGACAAGACACAGGGCTGGAAGCTAGAGCTGGGGTGATCGCTCCTACCCTCCATCTTCACCTCTCCTAACAGCCCCCCTAGCACCAAAGAGCAGGGAAGCTGTGGTCAGGGAACAGGCTTCCCTCCTGCACCAACTCCAGTGTCTACCTCCCCAGGAGTCCAGTTCTGTCAAAGGGCTCCAGTGCCACCGTGGCTCAGGCTGGACTCGTCACACCACCCTTGACACGGCCCTCCCCCTTAGTGTCCACAGCCATTTACTTCTTTCCTGGTCTTGCCAACTGCCTTTAAGTCATCTCTGCTTTTCCATGTCTGCTCTGTGTGTGACCTAATCCATGAGCATCTCTCACCCTGTCTGCCATGCCGGCTGCTCACCTGGTCTTCCATCGTCTACACTTGCCTTCACCCAGTCTTTGCACACCAGAATAGCCTTTTCAAAATGAAAACTGAAACAGGCCTCTCCCTCATTTAGACTCCCCTCAATTTTTTTTTCTTGGCTTTTTTGAGAACAGGTCTCATGAAGCCCAGACTGCCTTAAACTCACCACATGGCTAAGAAGGGCCTCGAACTCCTGGTCCTCCCACTTCTGCCTTCCCAGTGCTGGGATTACACACACTTCCACCACACCTGACTTGGTGACTTCTTTTATACGTATTTTTAAATTATATTATTGTGTGTGTTATGCATGATTGTGAGGGTGTGAATGGCGCAGTGTGCTGTGCTGGTCAGAAGACAACTCCTTCCACTGCTAGGTTGAACTCAGGTTTGTGTGGCAAGCCCTTTACCCAATAAGCCGTCTCACTAGAGCTAATTACTTCCTTCTGCACTTAGAATAAAATCTGGGAAAGAAGCTGGAAGCTGCCCCACCTGAGCGCTGCCACCTCCGCAGCCTCAACTGGAAGCACCTTCTTTGCTGTCCTCCGACCACAATGGCCTCCTTTCACTTCCTTAGGAACAAAGCCCTCTCCTCCCTCATAGCCTCTGCCCTTGCAGCCCCCTCTTCACAACACTCTACCAAAGATGTGGGCCTTGCTCACCACGGATACCCAGCTGCCAGGCAGGGCGGACTCTCCCCATGTAGTGTAAGTAAATGATTGATGAGTCAGAAGGTGGGTCAGAATGCAAACGACTGGAGAGGGGAGCAGACCAGAGGGACACTGCACTAACTGTAGGAGGTCCTGAGCATTGCCTGCCAGATAGACTGCAGGCGCTTCAGATGCATTTCTTCCAAGCTACATCATCACTCTGTGAGGATGACAAAGGGGAGATTCACAGAGATGAACACACTTGCCCAAGCCCACAGAACAAACAGATGGAAGATTCACCACTGGCTGGCATTCAGACCAGAACTTCTCCCTGAGAATATATTCCAGTATCTACCTGGGCCTTAGGCAATCTGACTGGCACTCCACCTTTGTCAAACAGACCAGCTCTGCTACAAAGTAACTGTGATGATGTCAAAGAGTAAGAAAAGCCTGAGTTTTTCACAGCTCAGGAAGGAGAGCTTCCTGGAAAATCAGTCTCCTTCTCCAAGACAGGAGCTATAGATGCTGAAGAAGTAGAACCAACTGCACCAACTGGTAAGGGTCCTGCTCAGCCTGTGGGCTCTGAGGGATCTGCAGACCACTTCCAGGTCACCCAACCAGCCCCAAGGGAAAAGGAAGTCCCATTGCTAATGGCCAAAGGCCAGAGGCACCACACCTGGGAGCCAGCCTCACCCTCAAACCCCATAATTCAAATTTCAGCTTCGGGCACTGAGAAGTGTGTGCGGCCCTACAACCTGATTGTGAGTGACTTGCCCACAACAAATTTCCAGAGCTGGGCATTGAGAGTCCTGGCAAGACCACAATGTTCTAGCCTCTCTTATGGGCAGTCTGTCCAAGAGAGCTGTCTAAGCCAGGTACAGATCACCCATTGGATACTGGAAAGGAGCTTGCTACCAGGGAGACATGGTTGAAAGGAAAGATGACATGTACAGTGGAGCTTCAGGGTCTCAGAGAGGGGGTGATCAGCAAGCAGGGTGGGGAGGGGGGCTATCCTAGTTCTGAATTTGAAGGGACTGGTTAGAAATTGTGCAGGGGGCGCTATCCTAGTTCTGAACTTAGAGGGACTGGCTAGAAATTGTATTCCTGGGACAGCTGTGGTATCACATGTAATCACAGCATCCAGGAAGCTGGGGCAGGAGGACTAAAATTTCAAAGATGCTGTATGCTACATAGACTGTCGCAGAAGAGGAAGGGTGGGAATGAAGAGGAGGAGGAGAGAAAGTCCCAGACCTCCTCAGACCAAAAAAAAAAAAAAAAAAAAAAAGTATACTGCAGGACTAACACACCCGTTAACTCATTAACAACTCTCCAGGCTCTTTCCATCTTACAGAGAAAGGAACAGACAGAGAAGCACAAGAGACTTGCCTGGGGATCTGCTTGTCTCAGACAACCCAAATCTATGTTTCCAAGTCTCACACGCTGTTCTCAGGTAAGAGGCTGGCTCCCGTTTCTGCAGACAACAGACTATCATTCAGGAGACAGAGGCAAAGGAGTCACAAGCTCTAGGCCATCCCAAGAAAAACAGAGAAGTCCTGTCTCCAAGAGAGGAAGGGACAAAATGGAGAGAGGAAAATAGCCAGGTTTGGTGGTGCATGCCTGTAATCCTAGTACCCAGGAGGTGGATGCAGAAGACCAGTGTTGGCTATACAGCAAATTGGAAGCCAACCTGGGCTACCTGAGACTCTATCTCAGAAAAAAAAAAAGTAATAAATTATCTCATTTCAAAAATCAGGGAAGAAACTTAATCACTCGAGAATAAATGTATCAAGAAATATTTTAAATCTATGAAACACCTTAAAGTCTACAAGCTGAGCAAAAGGCAGACATATAAAGCTGAATATTATATCTGGGTTAGCTCTCCAAAAGCTAGTATATACATCTAATGTCACTCCTAGAAAAGTAGTTTGGAGAACAAAGAGAGGCAGGAAATATGATCATAAGGATTCTGAGAAGTATAAACAAGCAAAAGTAGCCATGAAAATTCTAAAATAGCAGGACAATATGAAGGGGTTCTATGCAGACGACACCACCAACTTTTTTTTTTCAAGACAATGTTTCTCTGTGTAGCCTTGGCTGGCCTGGAACTCACTCTGTAGATCAGATTATCCTCAAACTCATAAAGATATGCTTGTCTCTGCCTCTCAAGTGCTAGAATTAAAGGCATCTGCTACCACCGCCCAGCAACGTCACCAGCTTCTAGGAACTTTTAGTGTCTCTTAAATGGTAAAGGAAGAAGAGAAAGCTATGTCACCTTTCTCCACTTCCACTGCCTCCTCCCTAGTGTCTAAGGTCTCTAGCTTCCATCAGCAATACCCTCCTGTCTCTGTCTCTAACCACGCATGAGCCTTGTCCTCTGAAGCCCTCCACATGGATCCTCTCTTTTCACTATCCAACCACACCCTCCCCCTGGCTAGTTTTAACTCCTTCTCCCACTTTTGGCGTACATGTCACAATGTTGGATATACTTTTCTTAACCACCCAACACAACATGAGTGCCCGTTATTCCCTCGGCATCCTTTAATCGTCCTTATCACAGTTTGAAATCCTGTGTTTATTAGCATGCTTTGTCCAGCACAGTATACCCAGAACTCACTGCTGGACGTAGTGAACAATTAACATCCAATAGATGTTTGTGGAGAAAAGATAAATATGTAAGTAGAGGATTAGCAAACAGTTAACATCCAACAGATGTTTGTAGAGAAAAGATAAATATGTAAATGGAGGATTAATTAGGTCATGATGATCCTGTAAGAGAGAGAAAAGATATCTTTCCAAAGCCTAACACTGCCAGAATTAAGAAAAAAATTGCCTTGACTGTTAACAAGAGACAAGGCTACATGTGTGCAGAGAGAGTAGAAAGTCTCAGGAGCAGGTGAGTGGGGGAACGCATGCTGTCTTCTGCAGGCATCAAGATTCTTTTCTGCTGCCTCTTTGCAGTTCTTGGGGTAGATTTTAGTGGAGAATCTCTCAACTGACCATGAGGATTGGGAATTAAGTCAGTAATTTCCTCATCAGCCTCCACATAAGAACATGGCACTGCCCCTTGGCACCCTGCTCTGCTTGGCCAGGCTAATCCAAGTGCTCCTGACTTGGGCACTCTGTGTATCTTTGTTCAGTTCTCAGAATACAGCTGGCAGTTATGTTGTTTCTGTTAATATTTAGGCAGCCTGCTTCTGACAGCATTCCTCAGTCCCTACCTGCTGCCTTGGGTGGCTGGCAACCCTCTACCCTAAACTTTCCAGGGCAGGGGCTTCCCCTCCTCCTGACCATGTAATCTGGCCATTTTGTTGCTATTTTTTTCTCTCTCTCTTACCCCCTTGCATGGCAACCCTCAAGTCCCACGTAGTTAAAGGACCAATTCCCACAAGCTACCATTTTCTACAAATGCATGCCATAGCTGTACACGCACTAAGTAAGGAAACAGAAGAGTCAGGTTCAGGGTAAAGAACTTGACACCAGCCACCCTTTAAAATGAGCTCCACTGGGAGGGAACACCCAGGACCATGGAGACCATGAGCAGGCCTTGGGGAGGGGGAGGGGGAGGGGGAGAGGCACAGATTAAAGTGAAAGACAAGATGGCTGTGGTGAACAACATGTAGGGGTGGGGGGGAAGGAAGAAATCTCTTCGTTTTATAAGTTTTCCCAGGAAGTGGGGAGGTTGGCCATAACTCAAAGCCTGTTTCAGGGTAAGCATCTGAGTTGGTTACAGAGACAAGGAAGAACACTTGCTCACAAGTCCTTGCTATATCAGAAGGAGGTAGATAGAGACCACAGGAGATGTGGTCTGATTTCTGAGAGTGATAAAGGCAGCAGAGGCTGTGCGATCTTACACCTAAAATCCCAGTACTCTGAAGGGAAGGCAGGAGGACTGTAGGTTCGAGGCTGTCCTGGGCTACACAGCAAGACCCTGGCTTTAGAAGGGAGAAAACGGGCCAGGCTTGACAATACACACCTGTAATCCCAGCACTCAGGAGGCAAAAGGGGAAGGGTCCTGACTCTGAGGTCAGAATGGGCTACTTAGTGAGATCCAGGGCTACATCCCTCACTCCTTGGGGCCTCTTTCTCTAATAAGTATTACTTTAGGGAAGGCACATGTACCATGACATGCACCTGGAGCTCAGAAGACAGTTTTCAGAGTCAGTTCTCCTTTTCACCTTTGCATGGGTTCTGAGGATGGAGCTCAGGTCCTCAGGTCAGCAAACTAGGCAGGCAAACCCTTCACCTGCTGAGCTGTCTCACCTGCCCACCTTCCCATTCTTTCCTTCACAACACTACTCAAGTCCAAAGCAAAAAAACATGGACCACCAATGACTCTTTCTTTCCTGATAGAAAAAACAAGAGCTGGGGGGGTAAGGAATGGTTAGAGATCTCAAAGAGGAAAAGAGGTAACCTACATAGCTAGGTGTTTGAAGACATTCTAGTAGGTGGAAAACTCCCTTGTTCTACCCATCCAAAAGAAAAGGCCGGGGAACACACTGGGATCCTGTCCCTCGTGCTAACACATTCTTAGGGAGGTCTGCTTGACAGGCCTTACCAGCCTCTGCTTCAGCACCTCTGCCCAGTGGGACATGACTTATTGCTCTGGCACAAATATTTGCATGGGTTTTGATCAAGAGGGCATTCGTTGTCTCTCTTTAACTGAAAAAGACTTCATAGGACATTCGGATAACTATCTAGTGTCTAGGCCTCAAGAAACAGATTGGAGGCTGAAGAAATGACTCAACTGTTAAGAAAAATTGATATTTTTCTAGAGGACACATGATTGGTGCCCAGAACCAATCTCTAGCAGCTCACAACCATCTGTGCCTCCAACTCAAGGGGCTCCTACTCCCTCTTCTGGCCTCTTCAAGCACCCATGCACACGCCATACACACAGAGACACACATATACATAAACAAATATTTTAAAAAAATAGTAACTAGTGAATGACACTCAAATATACCTTGAGTAAAGAACTCTTATTTCCATGCATTCCTGTGCAGGATATCTCAGCAACCCCCTTCTTTTCTTGCCACACAGATACAAATACCCTCCCTTTACTGCTAAAAGGTAAGCCTGTAGTATTGCAGAAAAAGACAGAGACAGAAGCATGCATGCATGCATGCATGCATACATACATACATACATACATACATACATACATACATACATGCGAATGGATGGATAGGCAGGCAAGCACACAGACAGAGAAAGGGGGGCTGCTGCATGGTCCTGTCCTCATTTAATGAGTGCTAGAAGATAATTGGAAAGTTATATATCTTTGTAAAACCTGGCTCCTTGTTACAGAGAGGGTTTACAAAAAGCCAAGACAACTTATCCTGTCCTGAAAAAAAAATCTTTCCATCCAGTTCTTCCTAAAGAGATGATCAGCTCCACAAATGAGGAACTTTAAAAGGCAGGAGATGACCTCTCCCTTAGTAACCTTTTATTAGTTTTAGCCAAGGACCCCAGATGATAGCTCACCGTGCTCTCCTGCAGTTACCCAGAATGCCAGGAACCCAAGAACAAGAAGTGCCTTCATGAGGAAGAGGTATCTTAACATCCTGCCAATTTTGAGAGTTGAGAGCTCAGTTCAGGGATAGCAGCAAAGGAAAGGACAGGACTAAGTGACTGCTGTCAAGCTAATCCCAACGGTTTTACTTATGCAATAATCCCCCAGGAACGTCATCTCCCAACAATAAGAACAGTGATTGGCTGCTGGTGTGTGAGAAATTTCCTGGGACTACCAGAGAGCACATGTGGTGGGAGGGACCAAATGCTGCCACGCAATATGCACAAAACTCTTAGACAAGTGTTAAGAATCCCAATGGGAAGCTAGAAGAATGGAGAGGTGGCTAGTGGGTTAAAGGTCAAAGAGAGACCAGAACGGCTTTGGGAAGACTCGGGTGCAGTCAAAACGAAAGAGGGTGAACCAGACCAGCGGTTCTTCCTGGGTTTGCACTGAGACTCTGAGGGGAAGGACCGGAGATGAGAAAAATAAACAGTCCAAAGCTGGGGCGCGAGGGCTTGTGAGGGCTGATGACTCAAGCCAGCAAGTTTATTATTCTCACAGCTCTTTACATACCCTCAGATGGGGAAGCGGAATACAAATCAGTAAGACTCACTGGACAGCAGAATTGCAGAGAGCTCTAGTTCTTCTTTTGCAAGGTACATTCTGGCACAGCAAGCAAAACATTTCATATCTCAGGATCTAGAACATTTAACCATGGCTTACACAGAAACTGTCAATCTCTAGATTGACAGGCCTCAGCCCCCTAGAGCCCTGGCACCAGTCCATTGCTGGCTTTGCCAAACATGACCCTGACAGAAAACAAAAGCGCAGTGTTCCTTGTTCTGTCTACAGGATCTGGTATGCCTCTAGCTATACCTAGCCCTTGACAGGGAGAACTGGAAATACAACATAATAAGAAAATAAGTGAGCTAATGATATAACTGAAGTGTAATATCCTGTCCATCCTTGGGAACTATCAAAGCCTGTGAAAAAGCTCATCGGAGTGTTCCAGCAAGAAACAAGAGCACAAAATGTTTACAGCTTGGTCCCTGTAGACCACAGAGGCCACTCTTAGACAAAATGAAGGATAGTTGGCTGGGGAGGAGAGTTGCTATGACTCAGTCTTTCACATATGTCCCCTTTATCATCTTTTCCCCTGCTTTTTGTGTTGCACGTGTCCAAAGAGTCAGGCATGGTAGTGCCTGTGATTCCAGAACTTGAGAGGTAGAGGCAGGTGGATTACAAAGGAAGCCTGGGCCAAGTGGCCAGTTCAAAGTTCAAGGCCAGCCTAGAGCCACAGAAGAAGAGCTTGTCAAAGAACAAAAACAAAAGCCACCAGCGTTTAGAGCAAGGAAGTTGACCTTGTTAAAAGGAAGATGATGGGACTACAAAGATGGCTCAACAGTCAGAGAGCATGTGTTGCTCTTGCAGGGGACCAGGGTTCGGTTCCCAGCACCCACACGGAAGTTTACAAATACCCATAACTCCGTTTCCAAAAAATCCAATGCCCTCTTCTGACCTCTGGGGGCACCAGGCACATACATGATATATATACATACATGCCAGCAAAACATTTATATGCATAAAATAAGTAAACCTTTTTAAAAAAAAAAAGTGAATGACACCGGGCACAGTAGTGCAGGCCTGTAATCCCAGAACTAGGTAGAGGCAGATAGATTGCTGTGTTCGAGGCCAGCCTGGTCTACAAAGCAAGTGCAGGACAGCCAATACCACACAGCAAAAACTGTCTTTAAAAAAAAAAAAGTGAACATTGGAGCACGGAGAGAACTGGTATTTGCTGATTCTCTAATACGTGCTTTGTATACGGTATCTTAATCCACATAATATTTCAGAGGAAAAAGTCTCTAAGTGGAGCTGCTAGAAATTACTATTATATTAGAATAACTTGAGGATTTACTTATACCATAGTTTTAAGTGCTTTGCATAAAATAATCCAGTCGTAATATTAGCCCTGTGACCCTGGGGTCAATTTCCAACACTACAGAAACAAAACATGGTGTTGCATGTCTGTGAAATCGGCACTGTGGAGGTGGAGGCAGCTCCTCAGCTGCGTGGTGAATTTGACTCCAGCCTGGAACACTGTGGAAGAATGAGAGTGAGCACGCGAAACAATGGTAGATGATCCAGTCCCACAGCCAATGTTTTTAGCCCTTGGCTTTGAGACAGGATCTTTCTATACATCCCAGAAGTGACCTCAAACTCCTGAGCTTCCTGCTACTTCTTCCTGCGTGGTGGGGTTATGTAATCACACTGGCCATAGCCAATGTTAATGATCATATCACACCAGGTTTGAATTTAGACTTTTCCTAACGCAAAACTCATACAGTTTACACTACCTGCTTCATGGAACCCGAGAAGATTAACTTTATCACCTGTAAATGAATTCAGTTCTTTCACGGACAGCTTGCCTCTGAGACAGTGCTAAGGGGAGCTATGGAGAACGCCACAGTTGTTCATCCCCAACTTATCCCGGAATCAACTTCTACGGGAGGGAAGGCCAGCTCTCTGGAACAGGACAAGTTCAAAAGCCAAAGCTCAACCTTCATTCTGATGCCTTCAGACACAGGAGGCAGCCCCCCAAAGGCTAGTGGTGTGTTGTTTAGGTGTTTGGGATGGCACGAGCAGCCCTCTTTTTATTGGCTTTCCTAGCTCCTGGGTCGGACCGCTCCAAGTCTGGGGGGACGGGAGGGAGCTGTGCCAAGTTATCAGAAGTTCCTGCAGTTTTCAAAGACTCAACTTTGGACCGCCCCATCCGAAGCCCTGCGCTCCCCAGCTGCAGTCTGTGCTCTGCTGCCATCACACCCGCACCCGTCCCTTGAATGAATGGTCCCCGAGCACCCACACTCGGTCTCCAGCCGACGTCTTCCAGGGGTTTGGCGCCCCAGTCGTAGCCCTAACATGAAAGATCCGGAAATTCACTAAGACGCGGCTCCCTGGCGGCGGTTCGGTTCCCATAGCAACTCCACGGCGCACCAGCGCCGCGCTTCCGGCCGGGTGCCGGGGCGCTTCCGTGACGTCACGGCGCCGCTTTCCGGTGGCTGAGTCGAGCTGAGGTTGTTGTGGGTCGGGGGCGCCATGGGGGCGACTGGTGATACTGAGCAGCCGCGGGGCCCCAGCGGGGCGGAGCGAGGCGGCCTGGAGCTGAGCGACGCGGGTGCGGCGGGACAGCCGGTTCTCACGGTGAGGGCGCCCGGACGAGGCCGGGGCTCGGGCCGGGCAGGGCCTCGGGCTCCCGGGCCCCGGGCCCGCGGGCGAAAGAACGCGGCGGCTGTACGGCCCAGGGGGTGCCGTTTTCTCAGTACGACGACCTGGATTCAGATTCTAGCTAGGTGACGTGGGCCTGATGTGACACCTTCTGAGCGCCAGGTTTCTCTTCTGTGAAATGAACAGCATTAACCCCAGCTTGATGGAGTTGTGGTGGGATGGGCTGATAAAGGCGGGTAGAGCGCCCTGACTCATCCATCACCCGCATCAGAGTAGACCCTCGGTAAACACTGCTGCTCTTCCAAGAACGAGCTCTGGACATTTGTGGCAGAAAACATTTTCCCAGTTCCTCCACCCTGACAGGGTCTTCCAGCCACTGAATTCCCCTTCACCCCAAGGTGGGAGAAGTGAGAAGCAGGAACGTCTAGGTTTAGCTTCATATTCGCTTTCTCCTCATCCTCACTATGAGGGGCCTCAGTGACATTTGCCCATTTGATTCCCACAGAACCCTTGGAACATAATGATAAAACACCGGCAGGTGCAGCGAAGGGGCCGCCGCTCTCAGATGACCACAAGGTAAGGCTAGCCCTGGATGAGACCCATATCCAGTTACATTGACTTGGGCGAGTGCTTTGGAAACCCCACTACTGGAGTCTGAGATCAACAACCGTAGAAAGAGCTCTGGAGTTGGGGGGTGGGAGGAGGGACTGGGTGCTGTAATTCCTATAACCTTAAGTCAGTTCCACTTCCAAACTCTCCAAAACAGTGAAGGAATAAAAATCTGGTACAGTCTCTTAACTTTCTGTGATTGAGATCTGTAAGTCAGAGGATTCGAATTCAAGATTCAGAAATCTGTTCTAATGCAGACTGCCGTTAACTGGATAAGTTTAACTTTTCTTAGCCTCTGTTTTTCTCAGCTGTGGTGTGGAGCTACTAGTTAAGTGTCCAGCCTAAGGAAGGGAAAACACCCAGGATGGGCCTTTGGATTCTACTTACAGTTTTGACCTGGGGTAGTGACTCATTTAATAAACACAGTACTTGGCAGAGGCAGGCAGACCTCTGTGAGTTTGAGACCAAACTGATCTGCATAGTGAGTTCCAGGACAGCCACAGCTACATAATGAGACCCCCCATCTCAAAAAATAAACAAAATTATGTATGTGTGTGTGTGTGTATATATATATATGGGTGTGTACTATATTTCATAAAACACTTTGAAAATAATTTGCATTTCACAGATTTGCGATGAAATAAAATGTAAAAATCCTGTGTGGCTAACTGGCAGAGCACTCTGGGAAAGTATATTTGGAACACTCGCCCTGACTCTGTCTCCCTCCCAATGCAGTTTCACAGATCCAGCCATCTCTATGGATCTCCTCCGTGCTGTCTTGCAGCCTAGCATCAATGAGGAGATCCAGGGTGTCTTCAACAAGTACATGAAGGTGAGAGGGACATGGTGACTAAAACTAACAGTGCTACCAAAACAAGGTCAGTTAAAGAGAGAGAGAGAGCAAGAGAATAGAGGCTGGAAAAATAGCTCAATGGTCTGGGGTGCCTGCTGCTCTTGCAGAGGACTCAATTTTAGCTCCTAGCACCCACATCAGGCCACTCCCAACCACTTGTAACTTCAGGTCCAGGATCCAGTGCCCTCTTCTGGCCTCTGCAAATTATACACAGTATGTATTCCACAGATATATACACATAATTTTTATTTTTTTTAAAGAACTTATAAAAAGCCAGCCATGGTGACACATGCCTTTAATTCTAGGACCCAGGAGAAAGCAAGCAGATCTTTGTGAGTTTTAGGACAGCATGGTCTACATAGTGAGACCCTATCTTTAAAAAAAAAAGAGAGAGAGAGAGAGAGAGAAGGGAGGGCGGGGATCGAGGAAGACA